AGCACATGTGTCGTTCCCTAATGATGGACGCGACTTTAAACAATAAGTTCTTTTCAAGGTATTTTCATTTCTTGTGTGGATAGTATTTGGATACCAAGGTCACTTTCTTACACGTTCAAGTTATTTATACCCTTTTTTTTCCAGTTCGAACCGAGTCAACGACATCTGACGCAGTAACAGCAGATAATTATAACCCGTTTCTCAGTATAAGCATTGTCCGTCGCCACATTTTGCGCCGTGACTAATTGTCGTCATTGTCTTAATATTTAACCCTATAATTTCTCTCAAATATAAACAAATCTGTCCTCGATCCAAAATAATAAACATGAAACCTGCATTATAGATGAACAGTGTTATATTCTTATATTACAATGTATTTCTTTAGGTTTCATTTGAACTATAGTTAATCTTTCAACTCAGTTTCCAAGAGATGACTCTGGCAACAAAAGATTCAATAAATCTACCTTTTTTAATGGGCCTATAATAATTGTACCCGGTATATTTTCTATTGTTTTCAACCCATTTTATTCAGTGACTGTTACTAAACCTACAACCACTCAGACAATTTATTACTATAACCACATTACAAACACCAACACAAAATAATCATGATTATAGTGGTACATCTGTTCAGCAAGGGGCCGTCCAAAGTTTTTAACATTCTCACAGTCGTAAAAACAGTACTTTTCAAGACCGCTTGAGGGCAGCGTGTGCTGGGTGTTGCATGCTGGGGAGCCGACGAATGTGCCCAAAGAAGGAGTGACGCCGTTATGATGGGAGACTATCCTCCAGCCTGGTTTTCCGTGAGATGGCCTCGTTGGTGATAAAATCAGACCATCTCACCCCAAGTATGCGGCGTTGAACACATATGAAAAGCTTGAAGTCTACGTCAATCCTCCTTGAGTGACGTCCATGTCTCGGATCCATATAAGAGGATCGGTAGGATACAGGTGGTGTAGATCTGGATTTTCGTGCGGAAAGTGAGGCATTTGTTTCTACAGACACCAACCAGCTGGCCCATGGTTGAAGAAGCCAAACCGATTCGGCGATGGATATCATGTGAGGAGTATCCTCCATCAGATAAAGAGTGGATGTCGCATCCAAGATAAGTGGCATTACATCAACTGCCTGCTGCCCTGCCACAGTGATGGAAGCCGGGAGGGGGGAATGGGGGGGGGGGGTGGTCCTGAACCGGTGTTTTGGATCTTGGTCTTGGCCCAGGACATAATGCATACCGAAGGTAGCAGCCTTTCCCCAAACCTTTGGAGCTTGGATGACCACTGGTTATAGGGTTATCTGTTGTGAAGACAGCCGCGTCATCTGCGTAATCCCGGTCAGTGAAGAGCGCATTGCCAACTGTTCCTAGATCACCCTGACACACATATCAATGTTCCAGTCGAAGGCACGACAGAAGAGTGTAGGAGCAAGGATGCATCCCTGACGAACACCTGAAGATGTTGACAATGCATCAGACACGTCACTGCAAAGCCAAACTCTTGATATAGTGCCGTTGAGGAAATACTTGGTAAGGTTAGAGTATAGAAATTTAAAGGGGTGTGTTCCGGAGGCCGCCAGAGCCTTCCACAGCTAGAGCGCCCCTGTCTACGGAGTCTAATGCAGCCTTGATGTCAACTTATAGGCCACATTGAGAAGTCTCATGAATCCATGATGATGGAGTTCCGAGAGGAGCCGTAGAGCAAGCACGGCGTCCTTGGTTGTGCGGCCCGGCTTCGTAACCTTATTGCTGTCGAACCCTTGGGGTTTGAGCAGTGATTGTATACGGGATAGTATTATGTAGCAAAACACCTTTCCAGGTACTGACAGAAGAGTGATCGGTCGATAGCTACCGCATTGATTTCGGGGTCCCTTTCCCTTGTTTTCGGATGGGACCCTGCCCGACGTCCATACCTTGTTGAAGAGCTCACGGAGGGCTAGGGTAAGGCTGACAGGGGTCTCAGCGCACTTCAACTACTCCGGGAAGATACCATCGGATCCTGCAGCCCGAAGTTTCCTGATGGCGTGACGTACCTCAAAAGGTTGGCGGCTGCTGCAGCATCCAAGTCAGCGCAGGTAGTTGCTGGAGCATGATGTAGCATGGCCTCGTCGTGTTCGCGCCAACGAGCCACAATGCGTCCTCCGTTGACTTGCAGGCAGAGCCAGCCATCTGACTTGAAAATAAGTGGAATAATATGCCCAGACTACTGGGTGCCTCGCATAGACTTGATTGCGAGGCTTAAAGACTCCTTTGAGCCATCGCCATTCCTGGTTATTGCCTTGAAGGCGGGCAGTACGCTTCCCATCCAAGTTGTTCAACGTGAATGTGGTGAGCCAGGGACGACTTCGCTGCCTACAGAAACTGACTGTCTCCGTGGCTGCAGAACGGAATGACTTGACGGAGAGCCCAGTGGAGTCCGGGTCATCTGGGAGGAACTCAATTGCCTGGAATTTATTACTATTGTGATGTTGTATTGAGTACGGATACCAGTATCTTCCTGAAGTGCCTTAATGTCTTGTCTCCGGCTTTGCGATTTGGATATCCAACGATAGGGCTGAGAGCTCCAGCGACTAGGCGATGATCATAGCTGCATGGGGACTCTGCGCCCGGCCCTATGCACCCTGGATGGAGGGGTTCCTGCTAATGCGATCAATTTCCTTCACAGTACGACCGTTGATCGATATCCAGGTGAGCCTCCAGATGAATGTCTTTCCTCCTGACGAATGAGCCAACGACTGCCAGATTTGCAAGTGAACGCATCCCAAGGAGGAGAGTTGAATCGTCATTGAGACGGTGACCGGTGCCATTTCCCGACCACATCCCCGTAACCCGAGCGTCTGAACTCCACACACAGCGTTGAAATCTCCAATGACGAGCAACTGGTCATGAGGTGAGATGGAGAGTATCAAAGGCTCCAGTTGGTTGTAAAAGGCGTCTTTTATCGGTGATAATAGCGATCTCCGTCTGTGCGATGCGTAAACTACACTTAGAATTGTGAGATGACCATGACGATGGCGCAGACGTGCCTGTAGGATACGACTTGAGACTGGCTTCCAGGGCAGTCAGGGAGTGAGCAACTTTAGAGTGAAGAAACATGAGCAACGCCTTGTCTTCGTTTTTTGTTTACCACCAGAGTGGTACATGGTGTATTCGTTGATAGAAGCAGATCCACTACCAGAAATGCGTGCTTTAGTGACTCTGACGATGTCAATCCGTTATCGTGCTAGCTCGCTCGCGACAGCTTGATGGCACATAGCCTGAGGACATTCCAGGTGGCTATTCGGACAGACAAGAGCGCATATTAATCATTACAATTTCCCGACATCTATAAATTGCTCCATTTCAACTGAAGTGTATGGGTCCGGGAACCAGGCTGCAAGAAGTTTATTTTTTTTTCTTAGTTTTTCCAGCATCTATGAACACAAAACTTTAAGTCAGTGTAGGCCTAACCATATTTGCTATAAAATACTGACCCCCGATTCCATCCATTTCTGAAAATTACAGCACTAAAGCAAATGTTGTATATTCCCTTTAAGGGCTACATATAGCAGTAATTGTTGTATTGCTTTTTTGACACGTGTCCTGCGCATAAATCCTGCCAAAAAAGCTCGCTTGATCTCGTGCCATCTATTGGCGAACGTCGGAGACAACAGCACGTATAGGCTATAGGCGCAGGCCGTTCCACTTTGCGTGCATTGGCGAGTCTGAAGAGTGACAAAATAATTAACTTGTTTGATTATAGGACCTGCTGTTTTGACGTTTTGTGGGGCAAGGGCATGATTGATGACTCATGGAGAGCACGACACGGTTGGACAAGGATTGAGATGAACAGAATGCATAATCAATCACTCATATAGGCCCAGTTGTCATCGAGAAGTTGCGTGATGAGGCGAGGCTAACTTTCTATATTGTAAATCACTTCTGAATAAAGTTACAGACATTATGGTGCGACCCAAGAAAGAAAAATTTAATGTGATCATCCATTTTTCGTATGATAAGTCCTATAGGCCTACTGTGTTGACGCAATAGAAGGAGAAATTGAAGGACATAATAATGTGTCACGGCTGCCATGTGCTCACAAACCATGAGAAGCATTTTCGAGAGAAAGCTCCCATTTCGGCTCGAAAACGCGTTATACCATAAACGAAAGAATAATATTTAAAAAGATCGTACAGAAAGAAGAAGAACACGGTTCACAGGACTATAAGCCTGTACCTTGGAAAGTTGTTGTCTTCGGTATTTACGGCGCGAAGGAATTTCGGGGTACACAAATTAAGTCCTGAAAATCTAGTCGTTGGAGTGCTAGTCGTTATTCCAGTCACATACGTCTATTTTCAAGACGTTCTTCCCTTGAGTGTGCGCTACAGTATAAGACTTGCACTTTTTTGTAACAGTTTGTTTCGTTTGATTCCTTAAAAGGTATTTGTTTTTTAAAACAAATCATTTAGAGTGGCAAAAGGTCGCCAGGGGGCAAGCCCCGCTTCTGATCTTGATACGCCACCATATTCCAAAGTAAACGATGTATAAGACCAACAGGGCAACCTGCGCTGCCTGACAAACAGAAGATTAAGATATCTAATTAGACCCCCGTCACATTGAAAGTAACAAACAAAAATCCCTGGCGACTCAAGAATGACATCTCGAACCCGCCTGTGCAAATCTAATTTATCAGAGCTCATATTTGGGGCGCTGGACAACGCTGACGAAGATGCGTGGTGTCACTGGCATCTTTTCCGGTAGATACAATTAGAATCGCAATCGCGTGAGATAGGATACACTAAGCAAGTGAGGTAGCCTAGGCTACTAGTGCCTGCAACCGGTCCATATGGGTTTGAGCGACTGCTTTTCAGTGTGTGAAATGTGTATCACTTTAAGGGATAACAGCGATACGTAATGACTTCTTCATAAGTATACCGTATGTGCATTATGTCTGCCGCTAAAATACAATTTTGAGTTGTTCAAGCATGGAGCTGTAAACGACATAGCTCCCCGTGGTTCAAGTAAGATGGATAACCAAGGCAATGCAACATGCTGCTCTAATGATCAGGTCTACGTCATCAGCTACGCCGAGCGGCAGACTCTGGCTGCTGTGGGCATAATCGTCTCATTCCTTGGAATCATCGGCAATACGCTAGTCATAGCAGCGGTGATTCTATCCAAGAAACTTCGCACCACAACCAATGTGTTTATACTCAATCTAAGCGTTGCCGATCTGTTGACGTGTGGTTTCGTGCTCCCTCTTGATACGGTGGCTATGCTGGGCAACCACTGGCCACTCCCGATTGCATTGTGCAAACTTGCCGGTTTCGTTGCCATTGTTTCCGTTGGCGCGAGCAGCAACAGTATGGCGTTTATTGCTGCTAACAGATACATCTTAGTCACAAAAAGCATGTCAACCTATCGCCGGTGTTTCAGCCGAAACAAGACTCTGGCCGCAGTTGTTTTTATATGGCTGTTTTCAATGACTGTTGCAATCGTCCCACAATGCACCGGACTCCTCAAACTTGGCTACCAGCCAAGGTTTTCTTCTTGCGCGTGGTCGGGGAACGGCCGCAACGAGCTTGACTTGTACTTCTTTGCCATGTTTTACCTGGTCCAGTGTGGCTGCATATCGTGGAGTTACGCTGGGATTGCTTACCACACTTACAACCACACCAGAAAGGTTCAGCACCTGACCACCAGACCCGCAGTTGCCATTGTGATGGATGCGCAGAATCAACAGAGGGGAGCTGGGCACCAGCCTGCGGGGAACAAACTTCAAATGGAAGTTACCAAAAATCTCTTTTTGGTAGTTTGCTGCCTGATAGTGTGCACCATGCCCTATTGTGTGGCTCTACTCATGACAAATGTAGATGCATTTTTGCCCATTGCGACCGTGATTCTTTTGTCAAACAGCTGTGTGAATCCCTTCTTGTATGGGGCAAAGCACCCTCACTTTAAGATTGTTTTCCGTTGTTTAATTAGCGGGAAATGTTCAGAAATACCAGATAGAGTCTCATATCGATTTTGTTGTCGACACTTTTAAGACTTTTGTGTCTACGATGGACAAAAGCCTTCCTGATTTTGTAAATTGTGTCGGCGGCGGCGCTCTCCTTATGGTCGACCCCCGTGAACTGAGCCACTATGCCTCGTATAAAATTCAAAGCAATCTGCAGCATTTAAAAACCGACATTATCTGTTTTCATTCCATTGACTTATGCTGTTACAATGAAGGGAAGTCAAACTGTATGTAATACAATAGTTGCTCTACCCGTGCTCTTAAACATATTCAGAGCACCCTGCACAAGTGTCCACCATTTGAGACAGCACACCACAGTCCTCGTTAAGTTGCTTTAAAGGTTTTAAACGAGAAGCAGCATAGAAATAGAAATAGAAATAGAAATTCGCTTTCCCCCTCCTCTTTCAATTTGCATATCTTATTTAAACGGATATAGGGCCAACTTTTTTCCCCTACTTTGGACATTTTGTACTATCCGAAAATATGCTTTTATTTGATGTTACTTTTGCGCCAATACCGAAGCCTGAATACTGATATACAGGCGCGGATCGGGGCACCCCCCCCCCCGACAAAAAATATGACAATTACAGTAATAACCTATATGTCCGCCTGTCCGCAACACTCGGACACAGAGGCGTAGTCTAGTCAGCGAGGGTAAGGGGGGGGGGGTACTTCCACACTATTGTGCTATAGTGCTAGTGTGCAAGATCGTCGGATTTGAAGAGCGCCCCCATCGGAAGATGGTACCTGCCCCCCCCCCCCCCATACTTGTCCGGAAAAACCTGTCCATACAGTTCAGCACTGATTTGCTGATAAACACCCCCCCCCCCCCCCCCCCACACACACACACACACACCACACACACACAACAATTTCTAGATCCACCCCTGTTATAGGTTTTTCTGTGACCCTTTAAATTCCATTGAAACATATCGTTGGGCTCCATTGTTCAATCCGATTTCGAATTTCATGATTCGCAAATCTATGGCATGCATTGTTCCGATTCGTCCTTGTTTCGGGAAATTCGTCTCATGTGGACACCGGCGTTGAAATGAAAATGTAACTTCGTTTTTTTTAAATTATTATTCAGTCATTCAATTTCGTTGGTAGCAAACTTTTTGTAATGAATATTTATGATTAAGCAGATTTGGTGAAATGAATTCCACTCCGCTTTCGTTAGTCAGAAAAAAAAGTAATCGAACATTATGAATATTCTGTTGTTGTGCGTCTAAAATATATGTGCAGATGACCTTATGGAATCGGGTGAATCATTGTGTGGCACATTTACTTGAACTTTCCTATGAATAAAGAACACACGGAGACTCAAGGGCGGATCCAGGGGGGGGGGGGCCAAGGGGGCCATGGCCCCCCCCCCAAAACGAAACCAATTTTTTTTTTTTTTTTAATGTGACATCGCAATAAAGGCAGGCAATGAGTACACCACCATCTTTTCCTCAAAAAACATTGGTTAAAGTGGTCAGAAATTGCCTCAGATCGCACCACAGAGCTTCTAGAATCCAAAAAATTTTCGGGGCCCTTAAGCGGGCCCCGAACCCCACGCCGTAATTTTTTGGACCAACTTTTTGGGGGGACCAAAATTGTTTTTGGCCCCCTCCAAAATTGTGTTCTGGATCCGCCTTGCGGAGACTATGATAATTCGTTAATGGATTTATGTCAACAAAAGAACGTAAGAAAAGAACTTTTGCGTTGCATTTCTCAGATGGGTTTTCTTTGTTGTTTCAAAAAGGTTTACGCCACCCTCCAAACTTACAAAACCATCGCCTCTAAATCCGATTTAACGTATAAGTCTGTGCACCGTCTGAATATGAATGACCGAAGCGCAAAAATGAATAAAAACGAACTGTACTTTTTTTTCAATTCAATGCCATACAGTCTTTACAGGGATTTCTCGAGCCTTAATTGGCCGAAAAAGAATGCTATACATTCGCGAATTGCACTGGAACAATATTATGAGATCTATTGGTGTAAATTCAAAATCCCGAATTAACAATGGAGCCCAATTACGTTCTGGAACTAAAATTAAATAATTTTCCATGGAATTAATTTGAATGATACAAGTGCTAAAGTAACCAGGAAAACCTATTTTATTGGACCGCAAGTAACTCAAATATGCATAACTTGAACTTCTTAAAACGCGAGCGGATTTTTGCTCGATGTCTCATTCAAAACAGAATAACTTTTGTATTTATAGCAATATTAAAAAAACCCACTATTTTCGGGTTAAAACTTACAAAAACAGTACGGGAGAGCAATTAAGAGCAGACTGCAGCCAGCTGGGGGGGGGGGGTAAGGGGGTATTAAAAACGTAATCGTGGCCTTTTTGCTTTCATCTGCCGTAACACGTGACTTTTTTGAATGCGACTCATTAAAAGCACCATTATATTGTGCACAATCGTCCGTTTTGAACAGCGCCCCCATCGGCATAGAGTACCCCCCCCCCCCCTCCCGATTTTTGATTTTACGGAGACCAAGTGTCCGGAGAAAAAAACGTGTCTACATTTTCACCACGGATGTGCCCTTTTTCAAATCCCCCCCCCCCCCCCCCCCCCCCCCCCCCCCCCCCCCCCCCCCCCCAATAAAAAAGGACCGTGCTACGCCACTGGACTAAAACATGAAACATTACATGTCACGTAAGTTAGTAGTCGATTCTTTTACAACTACTCGAGAAACATTATTAGTATCGATTCCGAGCGGCGTATGTCAGTTTGCAAAATACATGTACTACGGGGTACCAGACTGCTAATTCAGTAGTGCGTGACTGTGTGTTTTGATTGGTGGCTCAATATTTTGGTTGGTTTAGAATTGTCAAATTTTCATATTGCACCAGCTGTCCAAAATTAACCGATTGTCATTGTATCAGTGAGGTAAATGTATAGATTAGGAATTATAGTTTTAAAAGAACAGCAATGAATGAAAGTATAATGAGTACCAAACCGGAGATTGAGTTGCGACGGTCACCGCGTATCGCGGCAATGCAGGCCCGAGCAAGGTCGGCGAGTGGGCCGTCAGAATCACGGTCAAGGTCCAAGACTCCGGTCTCCAAGGGGGCAAGTTTGACAGATTTATCTTTCGCCGTTGATGATGAAGCAGACTGCTGCAACAACAACAGCTTTATTGCATCTCCTGATAAAAACAGGTGAGATTGCAGATTCCAGTTGTAGGGCCTAATTTAAATACCAGAAAACTCTCTAAAAAAACTGACAATGAATCATTGAATGAAACTTTTTTTCATTGAAAAGTATCTCCAATCACTAGTCCGAGTAAATAGGACTCTACGGATCGCTTTTTTACATTGGACATGGTCGGGCAATAGTAGTGTCCGAGATCGATGGCCCTATTGCGGATACTACTAATTTTCTTTTTTACCATTTTCACTCGTAGGCCTACCCCCAATCAAAATTGTCAGATTTCACCCACAAAACGGTCTTCAAACTGCCTTATGCGCCCCTGTCTGTAGGCTAAGTTCAGTGGGAAGTGAAAATATACAAATGGTGGTGGTTAGGTTTACATACCTTTGGGAAGAAAAGAGAAATTTCACCTTCAATACGGGAAACATCCTTGTCACAAACACCTTGTTTGAGGTTGCCATTTTGATTTCAGGAAAGCAGACTTGTGCATAGCTCTGGCTACACTGTTTCCTGGCAAGCATCGGACAGACCAATCACAGGGCGCTTTGATTGCTCACCAAGTTATTACCCAAAAATGCCATCCAAAGTGTCATGTACATGTATAACCAATTAAATTCTGATTTGCTTTTACATTACGCACAGAAACAGTCCTGAGAAAAGTGAAGAAGGAACATTTGTGAAGCCAAAGTCTAGTGGAACCCTACTGCGGGTAAGCGTACTGGAATCAACCAGACTGACAAACTTGTATGTGCTTGATTTTTATGGTGTGCTGGTACTGTTCTATATTTTCCAAGTGAAAAAAAACTAACTGTTTGGTTCAAAACCAGACTGGGACCTAGCCCCATAAATCTGGCCAATTTACTGGACTACCTCTGTAAATAAAGGCCACACTTCCACCATGTACAAAAACATGTCGAACTTTGTCAAATTTGGATTTGCACATTTAGGCTTAGTTTGTAGTTTATTTTTGCTTTAGAAGCATACTCACCCTCTTTATAAGCTAATCAGAAAGTGCTGCCTTTTTCAGAAATCTAATTTTCGTGAAATTTCATGTTGAAATTTTGATACGCAAACCTGTGCAAGCAAATCTGGAAATTTCACGAAAAACAGACATCTGAAAAAGGCAGCACTTTCTGATTAGCCTATAAAGAGGATGAGTATGCTTCTAAGACAAAAATAAACTACAAACTAAGCCTAAATGTGAACATCAAAATTTGACAAAGATCAACATGTTTTTGTACATGGTGGAAGTGTGGCCTTTATTTACGGAGGTAGTCCAGTAAATTGGCCACATTTATGGGGCTAACTGGGACCATGAGTGCAGAAAAACAAGCAAACCAAATTCAGGTCAACTTCACTCACTCTTATTCTGAAGCAGACAAACTTCTCTGAAATTTGCATGAGGCAAGGACAAGGTCCTCAGTATTTCACCAGCCAGGTTTGAAGTTTCAATTCAATTTTTAAAGGAGACTCTTCTCCAATATTTTGCACATAAAAGTGTAGCCAAGTCATTTCAATGTGAAGCCTAAGACTAGACTGGTACATGTCCAACTGTTTGAAAATACTGACCTCTTCAGTAGTCTGGTGGCAGAGTATGGAGAAATAGAGACCGGTACCAGATGTCTTTTTGACACAGTTGATTGATGCAGTACTGAAGCGGTGTTGGACTGGTTGTTTCAAGTGCCAGTCTATTTTCTTGTATTGCATGTTTTCAATACCTTAAGTTTTGGGACTCTCATGCACAGTATTGAGAGTCCCAAATTTTCGGTCTTGGGAAAACCACCTCAAAAAGGGCGAAAAAAGAGTTAAAAAGCTTTGGGCATGGGCAGGGATCCCCAAATATTTGTTTTAGTGTGGGACACGAATGGCAAGTTTTGGGAAACCAGATTTAAAGGGAAAATACAACATTTGCAAACATCAAAAAATAAAACTACCAAATCATTTTGAAATACCTTGCTGGACTGTTAGTGAATGACAGTGTAAAGCATCCTGTAAAATCATGGCACCTGGTATACTTTCATTTTCAAGAAAAGTGGTATTTTTGTATCAATTTCCAACGCTGATCGGCCGATCAGCGTTGGAAAAAAACTGGCTTTTTTTCAAATACTGGCCCCAGTTGACCATCGCACTTGTTTGCAATCGATTACACACCTATGAACGGGTACAAGCCAGCTAGACTGGTTCCCTGACCTTACAATTCCCCAATATATGTAAACTGCTCTGTTTCTTCTTAAATGGAGTCAGGGAACCAGACTACAGGAAAATGAATGTTTTTCTTGGTTTTTATAGCATTTCCGAACCCAAAACCTCAAAAAAGTCAGTGTAACTATATTTGCTATATATTTCCAACCCCCCAATTCCATCCATTTCTGAAAATTACAGCAAAAGCAAATGATGTATATTCCCTTTAAGGAGACATACATGTATCTAAAAAAAAAAATTGAAAAGTTGCGTAATCGTAATAATTGTAAACAAGTGTTCGGATCGATGCAAAGCACCCCAGCTGTGCTTGTTGAATGAGTCATCAATATGGGCATCATTAAAGGGTAAGGGTCATCATTATCTGGAGATAAAGTTTTGAGATTGAGACATACATGTACATGTATATCATAAAAATCCAAATGAAAGACACTCGACCCTTCAGGCTGTTGTAAATACCTGAAGTACATCAAGTGTAATTACTTATTTACATGTGACAGGTACGTGTAAGTGTTTTGGTTGAATGAGTTCAAAGATCATTGTGGGACTGAAATGTGAGTCAAGTGAACCAGTCTGTTCATCTGATAAAATGTCTTGTTTGTTTCTTGCTAGAATTTAAGGAAAAGAAAGAAAGGAGTAGACGAGAGCATGCGATTCAGCACCATGGGAAGCAAGGTAAATTAATGGAATGTGTTCATGAATACACCAACAGTGGATAAACAAAACTACAAAGTGTGCTTGCAATTTGAAAAGGCGTAAAATTGTACAATTCCTTCTCTTCACAATGTGTATTTCTCACATGCGGAAAAAAAAAATTGCACATTGAATTGCAGACATCCCGTTCCACAAAGGGAAGTGTAGTGGAATAGAACATTCAGTCTGTCACCAAATGAAATTACTCTGTCAGTGAATGAAATTATTCTTTCCATTGCACGAATGTGAAACATTCCTTATTTGTTTTAAACAATTCCTGAATAACTTCTTGCCATCTGATTGGTATCTTGCAAACTGGTATACACATATTGAGTGGATCAGCGTGGAATGGGAGGAATATTATCGCAAGGTACATGTAGAATCTGGACTTTTCCATGCCGAGTGAACTGGAAAAGTCCAGATTTTACCGAGCGATAATATTCCTCCCATTTCACAATTTAAAGCCACTCAATATTTGTTTTATATAACTGACATATAGATCCTTGTCATTTGATATATTTGAACTTTTATTTCAATACAAAATTGGTAAAAACGTATTTCTCTCTTCCAAACCACCCCTTCATGAATATGTTTGAACCCAACGCTGTAGCGCTGGCTCTTTGGAACAATACGCGCTATGTGCAACGCTGAATGCGCACACCAGCATGCATTTGCACACAAATACCGCGTCATGGAACAAGACTGATCCTAACTGTTCAATAGTACCGGTATTTCCCATTGAGCCCCAGCGTGAATGGCAGTAATAACGAATGACACGTGATGTGAGTTCCACCAATCAAATGACAAGGATCTGTATGTCAGTTACATGTATATAATAAGAAATATACAACATCTTAGTCATCAGAGCTTTGTTACAATGTATAGCGCCACCAATAGTGTGACCGTGCAATGGAAGTTCTATTTACCGCAGAATGAAACTTCTAGTTTTGTGTTGCAGCTGGGACGTGGGTAGGGATGAATAATTCAATGAAAGTGATCATAGAACCACCAATCAGACAGGGTTTATTCAGATGTTGTATAAAATTATATATTTCTGGTAATGAAAGTAAAGATTCCCCAAAATCGCCCTGGCACTGTAGCTTGCAAGTCTGATTAAACTTGTAGAGAGATCAGACAAAGAAATTATAGTTTTAGACGTGGGGAGGAAAACCCCAGAAGATCATTCTGGGGAAAATCCAGGCAATTGAGATTGAAGGTGAGGAAAGAACCACTGCACCAACCCGACCTGTGCCAAAAATGACCTGAGGAACTTTGTGTTCTTCCTTCAAAATGTGTCTGTCTTTAATTCTTGATTTATATAAGCATGTTATCTTGTATTTGTGTCATACAGAAAAAGCGAAAAATGGATGAAGCTGATCTGGATAACATCAGTGTCAATAGTCTGGATTTCAGCAAGGTAATGGATGCCACTTTATGCGGTGCCAGTATTTTGTTAGTCTGAGCATCACCCAACACCCATAACCAACATTTGATGTACATGTATATGTGAGCAATGCCAATTTTATGCGACCCTGCGGGCCCGACAATCAGAGTCGACTTTAGAAATTGTGATGTCATTTCAATCAGAAATGTGGACTGAGCTGTTGATTGGTGAATTTGGCTACCATGTTTTGGAATTCAACGGGTTACCGAAGACTTGCTAGAAGCGCCCGCTGAATGGTCAGAATGTTGCATAATTGTGTTGCATAATTAAAACGCCAAATCTGCTACACCGAATCTGCTCACATAAAATGCTGAATCTGCTCATCGTAGACCCTTGCTTTGCAAGGGATATTCCATAGACTGGTCTTCTGTTGACAGTCCAGCTAAGGTTACTGACAGACTACATGTTGGCAAAAAAATGTAGCGTCAAATGTAAACAAATGGGTTTTCCCAACATAAGGGCATCCTTTTTATTTTCTTATCTCCGACGGAGCCTGTTTTGGGCTGTGGTTTAAAGATCCAAGGAAAAAATGATTCCGGACCCAAGAAATTTGTTTTAATATTTTTTTTTCAACCAACTGACGCTACTTCAGAGCCAAAAAAATATGAGAACCATTGACATGTGGATTTTCTGTGACCCAGATTTTTAAAGTAAGCCAAGCAAACAATTGAAAACAAGAACGGACGGCAAATGTAAAGTAACTGAATGTTGTTTTCATATTCAGAGGGGTAGACGCAGTTCTAAGACCAGTGACGTTGCTGATGGAGATGGAGACAATATTAGTATACAGAGCTACACAGCGGTGAGTATGTTTAAACTTTTTCTCAGTAAACTCTTAGTTTTGAGAAACTTTGATCCCAATGCACAGTTTAATCAGTGTGATATGATACATTTCACAATATTGAGGTGACAATATGATAAACATTGCGAAAGTATGTATGTATCGTGATCTGTTTCAACTTAAGTATGTCAGTTGTTCGACATATAAACTAGCGGTAGTGGTTGGATTAAAATCAATTTTGTAAAATTCGGTTTGAATTCCACTATTTGGTTTGGATTTTGGGAACCGGATATTCAAAACCAACCTTAAAAAAAATTAGGTCTTCCATTTTGTGTGACTTTGGCTAAAGAAAACAACTGGCACATCCCCTGATGTGCTCCACGGTCTCTGATTGTAACTGCATACACTCACTAGCGGTCTTCTCGGTTCATGAATAGCCGGCCCATTTGTCAGATCAGAGACTTCCCACCCATTTTTTTTTTACATTACAGCTCTTAAAGGCCCAGTGGTCATTCAATCCTACAAACTATCCCCAATCCACCTATGTTCATAGCCTATTGCCTGTGTAGTCACTTGGGGGTTACTTGCTGCACATGCGCAGTGTGAGACATCCACTAGTCTTCGCATGTTGGCGACATTTTACCAACATATGCTGGCGCTAAGGTGGCATAAATGTCAATTTTTTTCTCCTATATGAGTTTTCCCAATGTTATACCCTGCAGATATACCCAAAATAAGTTTCCAAAAAACTTTATCAATAGCAACTTCCATAGCATAGTGCAGAGGGACCAACTATCAACAAAAATGGTGGAAAACAAAACTGTGTGAGCGCTAAATTTCATTTTCATTGCAAAGTTTTTTTTCATGTTAGTTTACGATTATGTCACTTTTGCCACCATTGTACAATAATATTGGCGATTATGTAAGATGTCCTAAACTATACACAATCACTATTATTGTGTAAATAAAGAGAAACAACAAGTGTAATAATGACAACAAGTGTAATAACAACAACAATAATAATTGTGCGACCGCCATTTTCTGACAGTCGTTGACATGACAATATGGTAGTTCAACTAAAGTGGTTCGCACTTCAACTTCAGTGCCTATGTGCTAGGTACGTCACGAACCAACCACTAGCTAACCACTGGTCCTTGCTCGAACTTGCTGCTAGTCAGCACATGAATACTGCCCTCTATTTTCTTGCAAATGAAATACCACTATAAAGTTGGGTCTAGTCTGAAGTTGTAGTGAGCCCTCTGTTGTCAGTAATACATAAAGTTGCTTCTGATAGGCTGATAGCCATCAATGATTTGCACAGCAGCTGCAGCACTCACAGTTAACAAAACCTCACGTTTCACACTTTGTGTTGATTAAAACATAATATGTTCTAAATCCGCAGAAAGTGTGAAACACTGCTTTTGAACACTAAGAAACTGTTTTGCTCTATTAAGGTAAAACAAATACTACATCATCAACACAAATTGATTTGAATTTGATGATGTAATATTTGTTTTACCTTAAATTAATAGAGCAAAACAGTTTCTTAGTGTTCATAAGCAGTGTCAAACCCCCTTTTCATTATAAAAATCGTAACATAAATCTCACTAATGAAGTATTCATAAGGGGGAAGGCTGGCAAAACTCCCCAATATTTCCTTATACAATTTAAACAATTCAATCACAACATACCGGTATTAAAGCTGTCAGAGCTCTACCGGTACCTGCATCAAAGGAAGAAATTGACAGCAATTTATTTCAATATATTGCCAAATCGCATTCATTTTTACATTTTTACCATTAAAAAAAACACTTTACAAACATGATGTACATAAAAGTATGTACAAAGTTTATTTATTTTAAGAATAAACAAGGTTTCCACACTGTTTTGAAATGCTTAATTAGGTTTGTATTAAAACTGTGTAAACAATAGAAAACTGATGAAGAACTGCAGAACGGCATATCAAATGAAGATCATGGAAGTTGAAACATGGCCCCTAGAGGCAAAAGCATTGTGGCATTGTGGCACATTGTATTGTAAATTGTTCCAATTTTCCAAGAATATTCAAAGATCATGTCCCTGACAACATACTGGCTATAAAAAATGTTTAAGTTCCCCAAATATTTGGCCTGGAAAACACCTTCCTTCCCTTTTCAGCAGAGAAATATTCCCAGACCTTTGAAGTTTGTTTTTATGTAGGCATGACCTCAAATTATTAAATTATGGTACCAGCCCTTTATAATTTACATGATGTAGGTACATTGTAGGTTGGAGGTTATTTTACACTAGGCAGTTAAAGGTCAAATAAACTCACATTTTTGTCGTTCCAGTATTGCAGTATTGCAGCAAGGTCCAATCAAACTACATAGAGAATAAATTGGGATTATTAATTGCATCCAGTTGGACTGTGTATGTGATTTGTCTGATTCACTCAGCAGAAATGCCCCACGAACATAAAGGCCAAGGTTGCATATGCCTACATGTATGTGAATGCAGATGAACATAGCTGTCACTTATTATCAGATAGCTGTCAACATTAATCATCAGCATGCGTACCATGCTGCTCATACTTAAAGGGCCAATTGGGCTACAAGTAACACGCATTTTAAACAAAATATTAATTGGAAAGAGCATCTAAAAGTAGGATATACACGTCCACACAACCATCCTTTAAGAATTGGACGTTGTTCTTGCGAGAACAAATTCGGGGTCAAAATTTGGACTCTCAAAAATCGAGCTGTTGGGTGCTACTGCTTATTGCGAATCCTGCCGCACATGTTTCACCAGTGCATTGCATTCTGCGGACGTGTGCGAAACAACTGTTTTGTATTGGTGCTGTGACTAGTATTATGTGTCACACACAACGTGTACATTGAATGGGCACGGCTGGGATATGTACATAAAAGTATGCCAGAAAATTTCTCCTGTGTCAAAAGTAAACAGGATTATTTGTCTTTTCTCACGAACAGTGCCACATTAGGTACATGTAAGTTTCCTTTCAACCAGAACTTTGAAATAGGATGAGTAAACAATCTAAAATATAAAAAAAATCAGTGATTTCTGGACGATGTGCCCCTTTAAAGTTGTTCTCCCTGTGCTAATTTCAAATTTTGCCACAGTGAAAAAAATAGAATTTGTCTGACAGTTTTTGTGTGCGTGTTTTTTGTACCCTATGGCACAAAAGCATTCCAACCTAAAAGCATGGTTTTGGTTTGTCGAAAACATCTAAAAACAAAATCTGGCTTTTTCCTTTTGTGTACATAAAACATACAAATTGAAAAAGTTTCTTGGAAAAAAACCGAATTGAATTAGGCATGTATGCATTCACGGGTAATTGTGGATCCAGGTACCCGAACTCCACACTGGTTGGTTTTAAATCATTTCAAATAACTTTTTGGCAGCAACCATGTTCTCCAAAAACAAATTCAATGACAGTCATTGAAATATTGGTATTTGAAGTGCCTTATGCATATTTAAATTTATATATAGAACATAGCAGATGCAGCTTTCAGACTGAATGATTGGCAAACAGTAGTGAGCCGGGGTGGTGATAAGCGAACATGTGCTTGACTACACATGCTACAGTATGATCAGCTGAGATCTGTAATAAAGGAAACGTTGAAAGACAATAATCCCATCAATGCTAGACAGTCGCATCTTGTTTTTGTTGTCCAATAGGTCAATCGGCACTGCACTATCACAGCCGTAGTAATAGGAAAGATCAGTGTTTTGACTACTTTAAAGTAACTACTTTGAGTCTGGATGGGCGATACCGGTAATTACCCAAGGGTAATAATCGCCCATCCAGACTCAAATCGGTCTTAAACAGAGTGTTTAATAAGCCTTTTCGGAGTTCCAACTGCGAATTCATATTAACCTGTGACAACGCGCATTGTTTGTCTCAAATGGCCTTTGACATCATCGCGCCACTGACTTTACAAAAAGGCTGTTTGTGCATTGTGGGTACTGTCAAAGGGCATTGGAGACAAACAATGTGCGTTGTCACAGGTTATGAATGCGCGCAGTTGGAACTCCGAAAAGGCTTATTCCGACCAAAGACATTTATTACCATTCATAAATACCTTTTCGGTCCAAAAATAAAAAAAATGTCAAAAACTAGATGTTGCCAACCATTTTAATCAACAATTTTACATCATGTTTTACGAAACACCCCTCTGACTATAATATGGAATGCCCCTCCACAACTCGTTACCTTATAGGGACATTGGCGTGCGCGTCGCGCATACTGCGCGATGTCGCGCAAAACGCAGCTGGGCTGGTGAAGTGTGAATTTCGGACCATGAAATACTTATTCACTGGTAGTACATTGCACATGCATACGGGAGGAATTTGAACGTTCAACCAATAAAACGTTAAAAGGCACCGGATTTCATAGGAGTCCAAATTTCATGTAACACTGGAAAAGCGTTTAAGACCAGCTAGCCATGTCTTTATCATCCGTTTAAGACCAGCCACGTGACGGGCTCTCGACTAATAGGAATGCGTAAACTGTCTTAGGTATTTATGAATATTATTTAGTTCATTTTGCTATTTACAATGTAGTAGTTGCACACAAATTTGTGATTTAAGTTTATGAAGCTCATTAAAACACACACACACACACCCCATATTAAATCATAACTCATGAAGTTGTCACAGCTAAATCAGTTTTTTCCCTTAAAAACCTCCTCGATTGAATCCAAAACTGTGCAGTAATCCATGGCACATTTCTTCGGTATTAAACTTGAGTGGATAATCGGGTCAAGCTCCAAGTAATTACCAGTGACTAGGTTGCACAGACTGAATATCATCAAAATATTCCCAAGCCAGGGGCCTGTTTGCTAGGTTTTGTGTGCTTAGTCGCGTAGGCCTATTCCTATCATGCGGTTCTTTTTTTTGTATCACCTCGCCAAATGACAGTGACTTTGATTTCACATGTTCCTGGACAGAAGTTTATATTCATATGTCAACAGTGAGGATTGTGAAAAGTAATCAGAATGTCTAAAGGCAGTATCGTCCTT